AAAAGAAATAACAATTGTGTGTATAATATTATATAAAAATGGTTACAAATTAGTGATGCAAACCTTAAAATTATTTGTTATTAAATTAGGCAGCTTTAAAATTATATAAAAGTGCTTAGGTTATTTATTGGCATATGGGATATTCATATTTACATATGTATTAAAATGATTTTTGGATTTTAAAAATGTTATCTTCAGAGCTATACTGCAGACATATAATATTTTTCCATGAAATAGTGATAAACATTAAGAAATATTCAGAGTAGAAATGATACTGGTATTTATAACAAGTGTATTGGAAGGGGGGGGGGGGGGGGTGTAAAATGTTGAAATTTATAAATAGGATCAAATAATGTTATCTTAGCAACTTAGAATCAAAAGTCAAAAAAGCATAGAGAAAGATTAGAATAAATGTATTTTACAACTATTTTATTTGGTAATACTTTTTTCCTTTAATTAATTTTATTTTTAAAATAATTTAAAGAACATTTATTAAAATCTGCTGTCTCAAAATTACTGACACTGGTCATTAGTAATTTAATTCCTATTTTTAGAAAAATTTGATCCCTTCCCCCGAGGTAAAATTACACCACTGATTTATACTATAAATATTCAGGTTTAAATAATTTTCGAAATTCAGAGTTGTTCCTCAGTCAATTTTTGTAAAAAAATTTAAGACACGGAATCATCAAATTACATTTTACAATATGCCTATTTCCAGGTTGGTTAAATCATTTCTACATAATTTTCCTATATATAAAGAGAGAGTCGATAAATTGAAATAAAGTTATGAATGATAAGAGAAAAATTCCGAAATTATAGAATTCTCAAAAATAAATGATAAAATAAAACGCTGTCTCTTAGAGTTAAGCTGTTATTTTTCTAAATAAATGAGAAAAAATATATCATGAAAATAAGCCTTTATTCTCCACAAATATATTCCTATAAGTGTATGACTTAACCATATGTTACCTGATGTTAAGATAAGAGTGCAGCGATGTCCGCATTTGCATGGTGTCGTTATCTTTAAGTTGATAGGGTAATCTTCTTATTTATTTTAAAAAATATATTATATATATATAAGTTTCAAAAGAGAAAAAAAGGACTTCGAACTTGTTATCAAATTTAATATAAATTTATCTTTTTATTATTATACACAGGTGTAGATAGCGTCATTATCATATAGGCGGCAATGAGTTATTTTTTCTTCCTTAAAACATTTATGGCGTCCATATTAAGGTGGTTGAATGGCCAATGGCAAATTGTGTTAAATTTAAAGGGTAGGTATTCTACAAGTGTTGTTAAATGGCCCGATTTTTAAAAACGGCTCGATAAAGATTTTAGCCAAAGTAATATTATGTAAGCCACAAGATTTGACAATTCAGTCAATTTCTATTGAATAAATTACAAACTTAGTGTAAAAAAATATATTTTTTAATAGATGCTCGTTTTAAATGGGAATTTGAAGAATGGTAAAAATAGTAGTAATGACAGACAATTTTTTTACTATTTATTTCTATGATGTTCGAAATAAATGGAAACAAAATGTAAATGTTCTTTACGTATGCTATCATAATAAGAAAGGGCATTCCCGTATTTGATCTTAGTTTTATTTGGTCAAATTTATTCCTTTGTTTAAAAATTTAAAAAAATATTCACAAAACAAAAATTAGATTAGAGTTTTATTTTGCACTTGAAATGAATAAAATACAAATATAATACAATGATAAGATTTAAAATATAAATATAATAAAAATATTCAAGTGGGGAATGCGTTAATAAGATATTGAAAATTTGATTTAATGACCTGGATTGAAAGTCTTTGACTATGTGAAAGTCCTTCTTTTGGTCCCTCTGTTTTGACATAATTTTGTCTGCAGAATTTTTTTATAATGTCTTGAACTTGAAGACCATAAGTTGTATGATTGGTCATGATGGAACGAAATAATATTAATGAGACATGTCTATATATTTATCCATTTCAATCTTTGTTTAGATTAATAGAGCCATTGGGTCGATGCAAGAAATCCAAAACTAGGAACTGGCCATCTTCCCAATGTAACCTAGTGATTCTATTAGGTCTTTATTGTCAGGAAACAAACTGATGGCTTTCCTCGTGGATAAAATCCCAGCTAAATTTAAAGCACACTTGATAAAGGAGTTGCATAGAGAGTGCCAGTGCTCATGCTCTATTTTTAATTCATTGAGGGCAATTTCTGCCCGAAACCTGTTTATGACATCTAGCACATTTGTGAGACATGATCAGTTGATGTTTAAACGAATAGCCATAACAACTAAATTCCTTGTCATTGAGTTCAAGTACAAGGTTTTTAGAAGCGATTACTCCTAAAAAATCATGAAGTAAACCAATTTTAATGCAGCAAAGGAGGAATGGTCAACAGATTACAAGTTGGCTAAAAGATAATCAATGTTAACAATCATGGACCCATCCCAGTTTTTCTGCTTGGTTAAAGTGGGAAGCGAAGTCAGATGCGTTTGTGTTGTGCCATTAATTAGCTAGTTTGTAAATGAGCTTATTAGTTTGTATATTAGCTCACTATTTTGTAATCTATCTATGTAGGCAGCTAGGTTCTATACTAGCTATAATTTATCTATGTAGGCAGCTAGGTTCTATACTATACTAGCTAGCTAGTTTGTAAACCTAAGCCTCTAGTTAGTTTGTATTGCAATGCAAACTAGCTAAGTGTGTATAATCGCTGTATCAAATATACAAACTACAAATTAGCCAGTTAATTGGCAAACTAACTTGTTTATACAAACTAGCTAATTAATTTTTGTTTCGTGTATTTTTTCAAAGATTTTGGAGTAAAATTATATCTTTTTTGTATTTGTTAAATTTATCATTTTTCAGTATGTATATATTTATTTTATCCATTTTTTTGTATTTTTAACTAATTTTCTTTCCCTTTTCGTTACCTTAGTATTGTTTTTTTAATTACTTTGAGTTTTTATTATTTGATATAAATTAATTTCTAATTTTAGTCTACTGTACTTTTAACCCATTTTTTTATTAGTTTGATTTTTAAATTTAGATTTTTTCCTTTAATATTTTATATAAAAAAAATTATTTAATTTTTCCTAACTTTAATATATTTGGTGTTTTTTTTTCCATCCATTTACAAATGTATTTTTATTTTGTAAATAGTTAAATATGTCTTTATTTGCGCGAATAGATTATTGTAAACAGGGATTCGAACCGAACCCGAACCCGGAGAAGTGAACCCGGGTTTTTAGAAAAAACTCTGAACCCGAACCGAACCTGAACCCCATTTATAAAATTTCCAAAACCCCGAACCGAACCCAAGAATTTTATTTGAACCCGGGTTCAATCGGGTTCAGTGTATTATTTAAAATCATATATTAATATATGTAAATACAAATATTATATTTTCAAATTTCCAATTAAATGAAGTCTTAATAAATTTTAAACAATTTAATTCATTTATGCCATTTTTAAATTTATTCTCGATTCCTATTGGAGTGTTAAAAAATTTTAAACAATTGAATTAATTTACGCCATTTATTTTTAAATTTTTATCTTATTATTCTTAAAGATTATTAATTAGAAGAAAATGGTTAACAAATCAAAGTAAAAATTATTATATTGTTAATTTAAAAAATTCTAAACATCTAACTTAAAAATTGTTAAATGTAGGGCAGTTTTTGTGAACTTATTAAAATGATTTTAAAATTTATATATGCTAATCATTTATTTTTGGTTCAGTTTAATTTTTACAAGATATTAATGAAGTGCATATTATAAATGAAATTAAATTTATAAATATCTCTTTTTTAATTGTGAAATCATTGCTATTTAAAAAAATTGTTCTCTTTTTATAGATTTAAGATTAAAGATAAAGTCATATTTGATAAGCATTTTACCCTTAATAAAATAGAAAAAAAAATCAATATGTTCATATTGCAAAGTAAAAATGTCTGGTAATCACTTGTCAAATTTCGAAAGACACCTGGAAAGAAATCACAACAATGAATATTTAAATTATTTCAATGAAAAAACCAAATATCAGGAATTGTTATTGGCAAAAAAACCTAAAATTAATATAGAAACCTTTTTTCCAAAATAGCATATAAGTATAAATATATCATCTAATGATTTGATGAGTTCTATACTAGAACTTGTTACTGTAAATGGCCGGCCTTTATCAATTATTGAAGATTCGGGATTTCAAAGAATTATAAATCCACTCCTATCTGGGCTCAATTTAGTTATAAACAAAGAAAATTTATCCAGAACTATTAATAAAACAGCCCAATCAATTAGAGACAAAATATCAAGAGAGGTAGAAGGAAAATTAATAAGTTTAAAAGTTGATGCAGTTCAACGACTAGATAGGTCAATTCTTGGTGTAAATATTCAATTTATATCAAAGTCCATTATAAATTTGAGGACTCTTGGAATTGTAGAGCTGAAAGAGAGATGTACAGGAGAATATATAAAAGAGAATATATTAAAAACTTTACTAAAATATAAAATTAATATTCAACAAATATACACAATTACTTCTGATAATGGTTGTAATTTTTTAAGAGCTATAAAGCTCCTGCAACCTGAAACTGATTATGATATAAGGAGTGAATCAGCAGATGAGGAAAATATGGATGTAAATGTATATAAATATGATATTGATGATATACAAAATACTTTTTTATCAACTATTATATCCTATCCGATTTATAGTGTACGGTGTGCACACACTTCAGCTGGCACTTCAAGATGCTATAAAATTATCACCTATTGTGGAAACCATTGCAAAAGCTAGGAGCCTAAATTTAAAATTAAGACATCCCACTTACCAAAAGTTATTAAAAAATATGAAACTCCCTAAGCCTGTGTTAGATTGCCACAGATGGAATTCAACCCATGATATGTTAGAAAGGCTGATTTTACTAAAACCCAATATCGAAGATTTTTTTACAGAGAAATCTGATTATTTATTGACTGAAGATTGGAAAGAGATAATAACGATTGTTGAAATTTTAAAACCGCTAAAAATCGCAACCAAACAATTCCAATCTGAACAGTTAACACTGACAGATTTTTATGCAGCATGGTTAAGATGCTGCATCGAACTGGAAAAAAATCCAAACCATTTTGCTCAATTACTATATTCTTGTCTTAAGAACAGAGAAGAAAGGTTTATAAAGAACGAAATTCTCTTAGCTGCCATATACCTGGGCCCAAGATACAAGGTTAATTAAAAGCTTAGTAAATTAATTATTTTAGATTTATATTAAAATTGTTATTTTATGAAATATTTAAATATAAACAATATAAATCCTTAAATATTACAGGTATTACTTAGTGATGATGATAAGATTTGTGCGAAAAAACATCTTGTCAATTTATGGAGACGAATTAAAAGCTTAACAACGCCAATTTTATCTGATGATATTAGTTCCGATGAAGTTATTGAACAAGAAGATGATTTAGAGAAATTGATAAACTTAAAGAAAGGCAGGAGAAAATACTTAAAAGAGGGCCAACGATTGCTGAGAAAAGTATTGGAACAATAATTACTGGATTTAGCGATTATATAAGATTAGATAAGAAGGAAAATATTTTGCATTTTTGGGAGTCTGCTAAGCTGGAACACCCTGAATTATATATTTTATCTAAAATCTTATTTGCTGTTCCTGCAACCCAAGTTAATTTTTCATATTTTCACATATAAATACATTTAACATAGGTTAGCGTTGAAAGATCTTTTTCACATTTGAAATTCATTCTTTCACCACATAGATCGAGGATGAGTGAACAACTCTTGGAAGATATTATGCTAATACGTCTAAATAAAATTTTTAAAATTGATACATGACTATATGCTTTGTATTTTTAACTATATTTGCCTATAAATAAAATAAAAAATTTATATTTTATATCAAATTTATGTCTAGTTTTTTATTATGATTTAAATATAAAATTTTTTTTATCAACTCAAAAATTCTTGAACCCGAACCGAACCCGAACCAAACCCGGGTTCAAAAATATTTCCCTGAACCGAACCCGAACCGAACCCAACTTTTTTTTATACCCCGAACCGAACCCGGTCTAAAATTTTGTCGGGTTCGCATCCCTGATTGTAAACATAATTTTTATTTTTCGCCCTTTATGATCAAGTTATTTGAATAAATTTAATAATTTCCTACCTTATCGTTGAAAAATATTTTTTTTTTATTATTTAGTTAATGCTAAAAGTATTAAAATATGAATTAGGCGGTGTTATTTGCTCTAAGGCTTTGATATTAGTAATCGCGATGATGCTTAGGTAATGCGATGAATAATTTGTCACAGCAATTGTCTCATCGCATCGCCAACAACACTATAGATACTTCCTATTTTATACTTGATTTTGTATTTTACGCACAACGATTGCAGGAACCAACGTTATATCACTATCATTATTAATTTTTATTTTTATAAATGAAATTATTACAAATTCGTCATGTAAATAATAAATATTTTTTAATTTATTAATATTATTTTTAAATAAATCTCAGGATTAAAAGTTATAGTGGTGTCGTATTGAATTTTAATTTATTAAATATATATTAGCGGCAACTTGTTTTTCCGGCAATGTGTTATTTTTTCCACTTTAAATCATTTTTTGAGCGCGTTTTTTTAGATTAAAAAAATCTGATATGACCGAAAATATATTCCATCATAATTGGAATATCTATCTTATGAATTGTAGTTAATTTTGCTGTTAGTCTTTGCATCATTTATAATTTATTTAAAAAATATATGGAAAATCGAATATTAAGTTCAAAAGATCATGTCGAAATTGTCTGAAATTCATAGGGTAGGTATTCCAAATATGATGGAATACATTTCTGGTAAAATTAGATTTATAATTTAAAAAACAAAAAATAACACTTTCCGGAAAAAAAACATTGATGCTAACATATTTTGTCTTGTCTATGTTTCTAAATCCATAGTTTAATTTTAATTATAAAATATAATATTATCCTTCTAAATAAAACATTATATAGCAGCAAAACCTTCATAAAATGGTCAAATACTGCTGCTGGTTCAATAGATTTTAAACCAAGTAATATGTGCGGATGTTTTAATGTAGGATATTATTCTTAAATAAATCTTACCTAAAAAGGAATTTGAATCCTGAGAAAGCATTTTCTTTTTGTTGTATTGGAATGAAATAGAAAAATAAATGACATAATAAATTTTATTATATTTTCAATTTTTTAAGCATTTTATAAAAATTATTCATAAATTTGCTTTTATTATTAGATATTTTGAAACACGATTTCCCTCAAATTAAGTTTTAATTTAGATAAATGATTATATATTATTTCAAATTTTTATTTAATCTCAATAAGAGATGATAACTACCTACTCATTCTGTGAAATGAGAAATTTGCTCATCTTCATCGTAGGTGATTTAAAATATCCATATGAGGACTCCTTTTTTAAAAAATATATTAAATTTATAATATAAATTAAATATCGATTATATAACCTGCTTTCTAATTTATATAAATATTTATTTAATTTTTCTAGTTTTTTGTGATTTATTCTTTATTAAAATTCAGAATGGAGATATTATTTCGGCGTTCTTACTTTTGAACATAAAAAAGATTTTAAAAGAGCTTCTATTTAATCACTCAGAACTAAAACAGAAACGCTAGAAATAAAAAATCCTTATGGTCAAAAGTATTTCATGCTAAAATAAGAAAATTAAATGATAAGAAAAAATAACAATTACTCAAATATAAAACTGAAGTGCTCAGATTTATAAATGAATTGCATAGATATGAGACAATAAATTATAGTTTTAAGAATATATAGAAGGAGGGCTGTGAATAAACCCTTCTGAAGAACATTTAGAAAACATTTTTGATCCGGGCATGATTTGAAAGCTATGAATTTTTGCCCTATAAATATAGGAATGATTAAATTCGATTTAGCTTAAACTTATTTCAAATATACGATATTCCCAAATTGGAAAGAAGAATTTTATTTAAACCCCTAAAAATTATATTTGGCATCATCTGCGACTCCGTTTTATAGTGAGCTTTTTATTTTTAAATAAAATAGTTTTATGGCATAATTTTATAATTCAGAAAGATATAATTGTCACAATCGTAATTTTAAAACTTTACAATTATTTGAAGAAAATAGTTAAAAATAAACTTTTTAAATATGGTTTTGGTAGTATTTCATTAATAGTGTAATTCGAAAAGGATTTGTTATAATTGTTGTAATATTCAAATGAGTTAAAGAAAAATGAATAAAAAAAGATTTATTATCAGATTAAATAAAGTTCAAGATTATTTCAGTTTGTTTTTAAACATTATGTAAATGAATATTATAGAAAAATATATATAATCGGGAATATTTTACTTAAAAAAAGAAGAATTATGATTTTACGAACTTAATTTTTAATCTTTTAATTTTTTTATATTATTTTAATTTCTTATTTTATTTATGATTATGTAATTAGTATTTATATTAATTAATAAAGTATTAGTAGTTAATTTATTTATACCATTTATTTTATTCTCTAAATTCTCTCAACCACTATATTTGTTGGCCTAAACATTATGTTCTAAGGACATATTCAGTCTACTTAAATACTAAAATTTGACAATGGTTCTAATCTCCCAATCCTAAATTCTACCAACCTTTACATTCATTTTTTATTTTCCTGGAAAATAGTTATAATTAATATAAGATTATATTTTGGTATAATTTTGATGACAATGCTGTTGAGAAAGGTAAAAATTATTATAATAATCATTTTTTTTCAGTTTTTTGTGAAAAATAGTCAACAATGGTTATTTTTAATATATTTTAAAATAATCTCTGTTATAAAGTAATTCGGTAATAAATGTTGTTTTTAATTTTAATATTTTATTTTTCAAGAAAATAATCAAAATTGATTTAAACATGTTTTATTATGATGCGTAATTTTTTTTTCAAATGCGTAATTTTTTTTTAAAAAAATTAATTTATATAGATTCAAACTTGTTTGATATAGTATAAATCAGGAAGGTGATAATTTTCATAATGATTTTATTTTTTTTATATTTTACTAAAATAGTTAAAAATAGATATTTCGTACATCTACTCTGAAAACTATGGCATTTCGCTAGCTATTACTTACTACCTATCTCAAAATATTTTATCTAAAGTGCAGATTAAAATCAATCAATGTATCTTTTTTTTGTTTTCATTTGAAATAACAAGGACTTGAGTATATCTAACAAAGCAATCAAAAGATCTTCTTATTAGCTTTAATTTGATACACAAATTAACTTGTACGTTAGGAAAGGTTGCCGACCTCCTCCCAATAACCTAGAGTAATAATGAGCAATTTAATTAAAGCTTTTATTTAATACCCATATCGAGATATTATGTTAAAAAATGTTTTCAAGATGTACCCCTCTCCCTCCCCCGAAAACCTAACACCAACAAGAATATAGAGTGTAATAAACAAATAATTTTAAATAACTTTTATTCTTTTTAATTTGATATCCATATTAAACTAATATGTGGGGAATTTTTTCAACCCCCCCCCCTCCTATCCTCCATGGCGTAGAGTGACTGTTAACAAATTAGTCAATTATTACCTTTCATTTGATACCCATATTGAGGTGCTAAGTTAGAAAATATCCACTCCCCCCCCTCCGGACCTAGATTCAAACAATTTTAAGCTTTATAGCGTGATGATTTAGTTTAATTTGTAAAGATATGAAAAAATATAACATATTCAAATAAAATTAAGATTGTGACCTATTTTTATCCATTCGAATAGCATAAGATTTACTTATTTCTCAAAAGTTTAATATTCAAATTTTTAAGTTCTATATGAGCGGAGTTGCAACTCCATAAAATCTCAATGTGAGTGAGAATCCTTCAGTCAGCCTCTATCGAGTTAACTTGTCATCATCTCAAATATTTTTAAAATATAATTTTTGTAAGGGATATTTCCTACCAGAGTTCGAAAGAATTGGAGATTTCATCTTGTAATATTTTTTATGCATGAAAATTACAAAATATTTATTTATAAAAAATTTTTTACAAAATATATTGGCATGGGTAAGATTTGTTCGAAAATCTTTCATTTTAAAAAAAAAATTCTTTAAAGGTTTTTACCGAAATTTTTTCGAAGACTTTATTCAAACTCGTTTTAATATTAAAACTTGAAAAACAACATTTTTTGCAAATTAGATCCCATTTTAAATTCAATAGATATTGAATACCTAATTTATTATAATATTCGATGGATTTAACATGATAAAAAATTTTAAAACAAAATCAATTTAGGGATTTTCATAAATAAATGCCTGAGATCTCAATCTGTTCAGCCCTTTGTAATATATGATTACAGCCATAAGCAAGGTGATAAGGTGACAGGAAGTTCACCTGGAAAATTTAAAAGGTTTCGCAAATTAGAGCCCTACATCTGACATATTTCGATGGTCCGACCCTGTCAAAAAAATTTAGTATTTTTTTCAGATTCAAATCTTACAAGTCCCCCAAACATATTTCTAGACTATGTAAGGAAACTAATATAATTTAAAAGATAATGTACCCGACCAACGAACGGTAAAATGGCCTAAGATCTACCAATGACATTTTAGGAGTATAAAGCCCCTTATAGATCTCTCTTTAGCAAAATTGTGGATTACACCCGTGATTATTCTTCTTAGACCAGAAAAGTTTTTTTTAACTAAATGATTCTTTTTATATAGATACAATATTTATGTCTATCTAGTATATATTATACATACTGTGTTCTAACCAGCATATGAGCGATTGGGTATGATCATTAAGCATTTTATTGATATTTTTACTAGCAATTTCGAAATTAACATAAA